TCATGGAACCTCAGCATAATATTTCATCTGAAAATTGCACTTTCAACAGTGCACAGTCCCTTAATAATGCACTGGTATCAGCCTAAGAACATTGGACCTTCAACCACTTGAGTTTGTTCTGTCACTCCATAATACCGTAAGAAACAGGAACAGGAGCAGGCCATTCTGCCCCTCGTGATGCTCTGCCATTCAGTAGGATCATTGCTGATCTGACAATCCTCAAGTCTACTTTTCCCCATAACCTTAGATTTTTTTTTATAAACCTCTAAACGTCATCCCTCAGCCACCTACTCGCCAGAGAAAAAAAGTTTTAGCCCATCCAGCCTCTCCTTATAACTCAAACTTTTCAGTCTCGGTAACATCCTTGTAAATCTTTTTTGCACCCTTCCAGCTTCAATAACATCCTTGCTATAGCAGGGCGACCAGAACTGTATGCAGTTACTTCAAACATGAGCATACTGATGTTTTGTACACCTGTAACATGATGTTCGCTAACCTTAAGTTCATATTTTTCCAAATGTGAATAAATCCTAACCCTAAGCATCTTCTCCAATAATTTCCATACTACTGACGCAAGGCTCAGCCTATAATTTCCCAGATTATCCCTATGAGCTTTATAACTGTATGACTCCCCTATTGATCAAGAATCTATCTCAGCCTTAAATATACACAAGAACTCTGCTCCCACAGCTCTCTGCAGCAAGGAATTCCAAAAGATCACAAGCTCAGAAGACATTCCTCATCTCAGTCTTAAATTGGTGTCCTTTAGTTCTGAGACCATGCCCTGTGGTTGTAGGCTTTCCAATGAGGGTAAACATCCTGCAAGCATTTATGCTGTCAAGTCCCTTAAGAATCCTATATGTTTCAATGGAGTTTAGAAGAATGAGAGGTGATCTGAATCCCAAACGGTCTAGGCTTTGCTCGTAAGACAATCCCTCCATACCAAAGATCAATTTTGTGAACCTTCTCTGATCTGCCTCCAATGAAAGGATATCGTTCATTAAATAAGGGGACCAAAACTGCTCACAGTACTCCAGATGTGGTTACACCTGCACCTTGTACAGATGAAGCAAGACTTCACTACTCTTATACTTCAACCTCTTTGAAACAAAAGGTCAACATTCCATTAGCCTTTCTGATTGCTGGCTGCACCTGCATGCTAGTTCTCTGTGGTTTTGTGCACAAGTACCCCCAAGTCCATTTGTGTTGCAGCTTTTCTCTGTTTAAATAGCAAACTGTTCTTTTGTTCTCCCTTCCAAAATGAACAACCTCACGTTTTCCCACATTATGTCTCATTTGCCATCTTTTTTCCCCACTTACTTTGCCTATCGATATCTCTCTGAAAACTGTTCACATCCCCTTTGCAACTTGCTTTCCCACCTGTTTTTGCATCATATGAAAATTTGGCTACAGTACATTCACTTCTTTCCTTCGTCATTAATAGGTATTGTGAACTGTCGTGGTCCCAGCACTGATCCCTGTGGAACCCTACTTGTTACAGGTTATCAACCTGGAAAAGAGCCGCCTATGCCAATCGTTGTTTCCTGACTGTTAGCCAATTCTCGATCTGCACCAATAGATTACTTCCAACACCATGGGCACTTGTCTGATGACAACTTTTTGTAAAGTGCCATGTTGAACATCTTCTGGAAGTCCAACACGTCTACAGTTCCCCTCTATCCACTCATTGACACTTCCTAGAAAAACTCCAATAAATTTATCAGACATGATTTCCTTTAAATGAAGCAATGTTCGATTAGATTATCATTTTCCAAACGTACTTATCAATTCTTGAACAATTCATTTCATCAGTTTTCCAACAACAGATGTTAGGTTAATTGGCCTATATTACCCATTTTTTGCCTATCTCCTTTTTGAATAAGTGTGTCAGAGTTGCAGTTTTTCATTCCTCTGGTACTTCTCCACTATTCAAGGATTTTTGGAAAATTACAAACAATGCATCCACTATCACTGTAGCTACTTCTTTTAGGATCTACAATGAGATTCTCATAATATCGTGGCTGATCTGTGGCGAAACTTCACAGAATAGATTACACATAAATGTCTGGAGTGGGGCTTGAAACTACAACATTTGACAAATCGAGAATGCTATCAAGACATCAGGCTGAACTATTATTGAGTTCAATATTGAATTCAATACTTTTAGGGCCTAAACTCTCCCATGTCCCAGCCCCCCACCCCATACACCAGGCCTTGTTACCACATAGCCTGCCACTACACACCCCCTGTTATTAGTCACTAACAGTCCCCATTATGAACTATTCACCCTCCCAGCCTGATTGTTAGCAACTCCTTTGTCGGTCCAACTGCCTTTCTCTCTCTTTGGGCTCTATCTTATCGTTTACTCCCTACCCCACTCACCTCCCTATTTTCTGCATATAAACTGACGTTTTCCCAGCCACCATCAATTCTGAGGAAGGGTCACCGGACCCGAAACGTTAACTCTGTTTTCTCCTTCACAGATGCTGCCAGACCTGCTGAGCTTTTCCAGCAACTTTGTTTTTGTTCCTGATTTGCAGCATCCGCAATTCTTTTGGTTTTTATTATTATTATCTAACAGATGTGGAGGTGTCAGTGTTGGACTGGGGTGGATGAGGTCAGAAGTCACACAACACCAGGTTATAGTCCAACAAGTTCAGCTGGAATCACAAGCTTTTGCAGCACTGCTCCTTCATTAGGTGGAGTGAAGAGAAGCAAACAGGTGTACAATTTATAAGCAGAGAGATCAATTTGGTGAGACCCTCCATACACAACTCTTATACCTACCATATTATTCCAGCACCAGCTGATTTTTAAAATAATTATCTCTCTGCCTCAATTATTCAGATTATAGGTCATCCCTTCACTTGCTATTCAGCTGTTAACACTTTTCTCACACCATCTGAGCATTTCTGATCACCTGCAGAGTCTTAATATTTAGCCTGTCGGCACTTCACTCACACCATTTGTACGATCTTTTGATCTCTCTGCCGATAAATTATGCACCTGTGTGCTTGTCTTCACTCCACTTGATGAAGGAGCAGTGCTCCAAAAGCTTTTGATTTCAAATAAACCTGTTGGACTATAATCTGGTGTCGAGTGACTTCTGACCTTGTTATATTACAGTGTAGAGTTTGCTAGGTAGTCAACCTTATTACTTAATGATTTCAGCAGAATCCCAAAGCAAATGTCTTAAGAGATTTAACCTACACGTTTTCTCCAGGTAACCTGGTAGGTAATGATGATGATACATTGGCAGGGGATAGGTTGGAGAAAGGTTGTTGGTATGTAAGAGGGGGTGGAGCAGTCTCTGCGCGCGTCGTGTTGGGAATTGTAGTCCGCTAGGAATTCCAGCTCGTTTTACGTCACCTGCAAACTGAACGACCTGGACTACATATTCCACAATGCATCGCAAACACCACACATGCGCAGAACCACCGATGTGTCCAGAAAAATCTACTGCACAACACACATCCGTTCCCCCCCAACAAAAAAACTTTCAGCTGCAATCTCACTCCAAAAACCACACCAGACATCTGCTTAAAAAAAATAAAGTTCTCACGAAGAACTGCAGAACAGGAAAGGCCCTTTGCCTTCTTCATTAATAATCAGGGGAAACAAAAGAATTAACCACGAGAGAAAAATGCAAATGGGAGATATGTTTTAACCATGTCACCTCGGTTCCAATGCAGTATGTGGAATACGAAAAATTTCGACTGCGCTGCTTAATTTTTTTTCTCTCCACCCCCTGTCAGACTCTCTCCCGCCAAAGCGCATCGGGAGACAGCGGCATACTCACCCGAGCCGGCCAGTGGGGATAACCCTTCATTTTGGCAAAAACCAGGTCTCCAGCTTTGAAACTGTGAGGCATTTTCTGTCTGATCTGATTTGACTCAGTCAATCTGTTTCCACATACAACAGGCCCCAGCCTAGGTGCAGCCCGACACTGACTCTTTCGAATACTGGACAGGGCCCCTTGGGGGAGGGGGGGGTAGAAACCTAACCTGCTGCCAGAAATCCCGCCTTTCCCCGCCTCTGATTGGCCCCTTCTCCCCGCGCCGCGGCAGCGACGAACCCTGATTCGCGTTACGGCCCGTCGATCGTATGACGTCAACGCCAGGTTTCTGTGGTACGTACAAAAAGGCTGCCTAGTTTGCTTGTGCTAGAATGAGCTATGGTTGTTGTGTGGATACTCTTGCAGAAGTGTTGAAAGAAATAAATTTATCAGGATTGTATTGCATTGCGTGTCCTGCCAAAATTTGAACTGTTATATGATGTACTTTTGGAAGTTTCGTGGTTTATTTATAATTTGGGGGATAAAGAAGTTTTTTCTGCTTTGGTTGTGTCAGCAGCACAGCCCAACATCCATATTTTGCCAACAATGATGAATATGGTTAACAAGGGAATAATGACCAATTTTTTTTTGGAATATGGGTTGTGGACATATAAACAGCAGAGATAACGCCTCTGCTCTTGTTTAAAATGATGCCCTGC